AAAATTTATAAATATATTCTTTAAAATATTATTATAATAAATTATAATAAGTTATAATAAGTTATAATAAGTTATAGTAAGTTATAGCAAGCTATAATAAGCTATAATAAGTTGTGACAAGTTATAGCAAGTTATGATAAGTTACGACTTATGATAAGTTATAACAAGTTATGATTTTTATTAAATTTTTTAATAAGTTGCAATATAAGTATTATAATATAGTAATTGTGACTACTATCTTTACTCATGATTCTAATATTTTTATATCAAATTATTTAACTTAATAATTTTAACATATCTTTTTCTAATAAAATAAAATGATTTTTTTAATTATACATCATTAATTTTTATGAATTTCTAGTAATTAAAGCAAATAGCTATATAACTTTTATGAATTTTTGATCTATAATAATTGAAATTACTTTTATCAAATGATGCAAATAAATATAACTGATGATATATACTGAATTTTCTAGCATTTAATAAATTTTATAAAGGTATTCTGATTTATATTACCTATTGAACTGATATTTCATTCTGTTTTATAATAGATAATGTATCAAATAATCTCTCATTATTAAAGAGTTCATCATATTATTTATTATCAAAAGCAAAATAATTTCCAATATATAACATGATATATTTTATATTATATTCAGGATAAATATTAAAGAATTTGGATAATGTTCTGTTTTTCTTATCAAGAATAGTTATAACATTAAAACAGACATATTTATTGCTTATAGAGAATAATATATTTAGTGATTTTAATATTTTTGATCTATTAGATTTGATATGATATATATAATTAAAACCAAATTCATTTTTAGTACAGATGCTCAAAGAGTATTTCATAAGGTCTGATTATTAGATGAGTTGTGTATAATCATTATATTTTGCAAGTGATATATATGATGAGGCCAATCAAAATTTTGATTTATTTACATATGATTAGGCAGGTTAACTGCTAGATAACAGATAACTGATAATAATTAATGAATTGATAGGTGTTAGTTTATTTTGACACTACATAGTTCATGTAGACATATGATTAAATAGTGGCAAAGCTTATAAAAAATCAGGTTATTTAATCAGTGCATATAATTCATATGATACTGCATATAGTTGTGAAATAATAGAATTATAACTTTATTAATATATGAATTCGGACATGACATCGATGTCACTGGCGCAGTAACGTGGCGCAGTAACGCTCATATTCTATTTTCCTTTTTTAAAACTTCGACTATCACATAATCAATATTTTCTTAAGTTTGAAATGTTTGATGCCGAAAATGATCTAATGCCTCTTATTTTCTCTTTACCAATACTAACAAATAAATTATATATTTTTCCTGATCGCTCCTTTCATTTTTTCAATACATCGCATACATATATTGACAAAATATAAATAAAAAGGTCAAAGCCAAAGATATTAATTTAACAATATACAGCATATGAAGCTAAACTAATTCCCACTTTCCCACTTCGCTAATTAAATCAATGGATCAGCATTTGGTGATCCTGGACATGGTGATGCAGGATATGGTCTTTCGGTACTCACTTTACACACTCTCGCTTTCTTTGGGGTTGACATGCACGCAGATAAATGGTGCTGACTTTCATTTCGAGTTCGTTTCCGAAGCCCGGCACTCTTAAATGATTTGTTAGTCTGTCCACTTCTTTGGACGATCTTTATCGTCTCTCGGACTACAGACTAAATTTACAAATACATCAGCTTTGTATGTAAAACATATCTAACAAAATTATGAACCTAACCTTTATATTCAAGACCGATGCAAGAATTGTCAAAATTGATTCGAATTTTTCGGCCATATCGGGCACTTCCATCAAATCACTACGTCGCAATCTGCAAATGTAACCCATTGGGTTATCGATATATGCTATTGTCATCATAAGGCCTATTATAAAAAATTAAGATATTAGTTAACGATGGACACTTTGATGGAAATCAAGATCAGTCATATACCTCCATGAATAATTCCTACGGTTTGTATTTTTTTGCGTGCTTCTTCGTTCCAACCTATTTTCTCCATTAAGTTTAATAGCATGTCTTTAAGTACCTTTGGAAGTTTCAGCCCTCCTTCTTAAGATATTTCGTTCCGTATTGGTCTATCCAACTTTTACCCGCCTCTCCCGCCCCAAATTCATTTTTATCACCATTTCCGACAGCTCTGAGGATCCAGTCTCCTCTACGACCAATTTTTCGACGGTCCCCTAATTTCCTTTTCGTTTTTTTATTTTTTCGAGTGGCTGTCGATACACTCGTGCTTTCACCTCTTGATCATTAAAAGAAAGAAATCACATTAAATCAAAGAAGACACTCTTAGAAAAAAAGAAAGAAAATACCTGATGACAGATATGGCCTTTATATTTTCGAATGCGTGGTCAAAGACCATACTCCAGACGTGGCAGTTAAACCAGTTTTCTAGATTTGCTTCCGTTATTTTTCCACTTTCAATTTCTCTAATTCTATAAGTAATTTTAGTCAATTCACTGTTGACATCACACAAAGACGGTCGCAAAGAACAAAAGTAGAAACCGTAACTTACAACGCATGTAAAGCCAGGCATATGTAGTCCATATCGTGATGCTTTTCACAATCATAATCAATACCGAAACTTAATTCCTTTATTAGTTGTCGTATTTCCTTTAAGTTCGTCTACAGCAAATTAGAAAGAACTCGATGACTTACTGCATTATGCATATGTTTGCCAGCAACATGTAAATGAAATATTTATTACCTTTCCGATAAATTTATCCAGAAAATCATTAACTTCATCTGAGAGTTCGGGAACTTCTGGGATAGGTGTGAGCTCTATCTCACGAAGTTCTGTCTCGGTGAAACAGTCTGCAACCAACTCGTCATCGATATCCAGGATAAATGAGTGAACAGCACTAGGGAATAAAACTTCAATTTAGTACAATTATTCCTACGCAAACATAACCTCACGCATGAATACTAACTGTTCAAACTCCAGCTCCCTCCCTAATTTATATAGTTCATCTTCGATTACTTTTCCCGACGAAAGTTTCCACATGTATCGTCTATCCATTAACTTGTAAGCTTCGTCAACCTCCTTTCTATTTGCTTCGCTTAGTCTAAGTGGTCCCGTCTAAATGGCAAGAACATAGATTCTTATCAGTATTCAGTATACACAAAGCCAAGAGTCTAATAAGATTTACTTTGTTTTTCTTCGTCACTTCTACTTTATCGTTTGTCGCTTCCTTAACTTCTTGATTATCAATCGCTTCCTTTACGTGATAGACAATAGTAAGCATAATAAGCGTTTATGGCTAACAACACCTATCCCGAATATAATCTACCTGATCAGATACGTCCGAATCATCATAATCAGATGCAGAGACTGGATCCTGCGATTCAACATTATTTTCTGAATGATAATCTGCTCCGCTTCTTGATCGACTTTGTCCTTGTTCGTCCTTCTCGAGTCTTTTCGATGATTGTTGGCATTCGTCCACGATTTCATCACCAATGTTCTCCCCCACAGCTTGGTATATATCAATTGTTTTTGATCGAATAGTTCCTTTTACACGATTCTATAAAGACAATTTGATAGTTTCGCTTATGTGTAGTTATAAATTAACATGTGCACAAATAAAGGTTTTTCACCTGCCTTCTTGCGTTCATCTATCACTTCTTCCCAATACAAACGAGTATCCTTTGAAAATAATGTATATGAATATGCGATATGATAATAAGGAGCTCTATAACAAAATCAAAACCAAATAGACCAGATCGCAAATAGTGAGGGCTAGGAAAATATACCTATACTCTGGATTCAGGTAAAACCTGTCAAGAGGTGCTCTTCACTATTACTTGGGCTAGGAAAATATACCTATACTCTGGATTCAGGTAAAACCTGTCAAGAGGTGCCCTATGGTCGGCTAAATTGAAACATATTACCTCTTCTGCGACTTTTGCACCATTGGTGGGTAAATTCAATCTTTTTGATGTTTGCAAATATCGGCTGTACCACGCGCCATGGAGTCCTTTCCAATTTTCTGACAATGGAGGTATTTTGACAACTAAAGAGCGGTTTGATTCCAAAAACCCTAAGTATGACACGGAACTGGGTGCAGTTCTGGTTAAGTAAGATTCGAGGGCTATTGAAAGCAAAATATGACCGATTAGTGTCTAATACAAAAGAAGCTCTTTTCACACATTTTGAATTAATGCTTGCCTGTTCGACCGGGATATGGTTTTGTTGACATTATAACTATCGATCGAAAAAAAAATATGTATGGTGCGGGGCATCTTAACTAGCCAATAAAATTAAGCAACTTTGAAACCTATCAGCACTTTATAGAGAAAAAATCTAGAAAAACTAAACTGGTAATATTGTTCTTTGAGATAAACTCTATCAAACTACCAGTCAGAATTTTAAAAAAACTTTTATAAAAAAAGTTATAAGCATTTAAAATCAGATACTTTTTATATGTTTTGGTCAAAATTGAAACATATCCCGTGTTTTTATATCACGTGAAAATGATTTTATTGGTTAAATTTTCAAAAATGATTTTATTGGTTACCATACTTAATTATAGTTTTGGCGCATTTATTATGCATTTATCATGCATTAATCATGCATTAATCATGCATTTATCGACCCTGACTTCTCGTGTCATATTTATTATACTTTTAATGGCCTTGTGCCACAATTTATTATGTCTTAAACATATCTCAGATATATGTACAAAAAAATCTTTAATAACATTATCCAAGAAGGTAATATCCCACTTTAAAAATCTCTGAATCCAGAGAAAAATTCACTTAATTATACTTTAACAGCATCCTGCCTATCTAAGGAGTTTCTTAAAGTATCTAAATAAGAAATTACTTAAGCATACTTTGATGGTATCCCATTTTGATAGCACCTCATACAAAAAGACAGAAGCAAGTAAGTAATTTATCTAGGAAGAGAGATCACTATTGTTAGTTAACCACCACAGAATTACCACCAATAATGATCACAGAATTTCTTGAAGTAACACTCAGGATGTCAGATGAAGAAACAAGAGAAATTATCCAAACAGAAGGAAAATTAGCCAAAGAATTTGAGTTTGAGGAAGTGAGAAAAAGATTTATCAATAAAGTTCTTAGGTGGCATGAAAAAGCTGCAAGCCATCTGAGATCAGTATATACTAAAACTTCAAAAATGATAATATGGAGACAGAAAATTAAAGAGAAAGAACAAGAAAAATACATAAAGGGGATAAAAAAGCTTGATACATTTTTCCAGCCAGTTTTTCTGAGTATTAGCACATCAAAATCTTTCTCAACATAATAATTCTTTCCAATGACTATGCAAAAGTTGTCTTTGTTTTTATCAGAAAACCTATGGATCTATTTGGAGGAACTCAACCAAAAGTGCTCAATAGGAAAATCTGTAATAATATTTGATTAGTTATTAATAATTATAGTATATTTATCTTTTATTTCACAGATCATTACTGCATCACATACTGCATCACATATGACTTACTGCGCTACAATCACCTGATTATGCCAAGAAAAGTCATCCAATTATTTTGAGTTATTTTAGCTATAGATAGTTTCTTAGTAGAATTTTTCTTTTCTCTTGTTCTACTAATTTAGCTA